TCTTGCCTGGTGCTCTGTGTCCGAGGTCAATTTTGCAGGGTTCTGGGGCGAGTGTTGCCTTGATTTAAAAGCGGTGAAGATCTTCCAGTGTCTGCAAGAGCTGGAGCAGATGAAGCAGAACGCGCGTTTTCCCATGAGTTTCTTAGCAAGGCAAAGTGGTTTATCCATGGTCTGGTGTATGCTGGCAGGTCAACATTTGTTCCTTACTTATGACTGTTGTTCTGGTGTTTGCTCTGCAAGAACTGGATCTGGTGGGGGGTTTTTTGCACAGGATATAGGTCTTCAAAATTAAGAGGTATGTGTGTTTGAACTTCTTTATCTTGCAAGCATAGACAACAGGGTTCATGGCAGAATTGGCGTGGGATAACAGGATTGCCAAGTACATCAGATACGGGGGGATTTGACAGTCAGGGTAAAAATAGGAAACACAGTTTATAATGCACAGGGGCAACCAGGATATGGCAAAGAGGAAGAGGACAAGTGCTAGGGATTTGGCTGTCTTGAACTCCTGTCCGTAAAAAGCTCCTGCCTCCCTCGCATTGGTTGTACCTTGACTCAGCTTTGTCCGGATGATGTAAAAGATTTCAACATACAGAGCACACATGACGAGGAGAGGGATGAGAATCCATGCGAAGAAGCCAAAATATACCATGTAATCCATCCTCATCACAGAGGTGAATTGGCACCTGAGGAAGTCAGAGCTTCTTGGGCCTGTCTTGTTCCATCCAAACATGGGGACTAATCCTACCAGCAGGGACACGGACCAGCACAAACCCAGCGCCCACCAGACTCTTCTCTCTCTAGTGATTATTTTGTATCTGTTGGGGAAGAAAACCCAGGTCATGTTAAACAGAATTGTTTTAAATAGTTAAGAATGGTTTCAAGCACTCCCATGTTCAAATACTACAAGTTTGTTGTCACAAAATTTGGGGGGGGGACACACCAAATCCTATTTTGAGGCAAGCCCTAACTCTCCATTTGTAGTAGTTACTTTGCAGCACCCATAAGATGAACTACACTTAACTTCCCCTCTTTATAGTTGGATGTTTTCAACTATTTTGTTTCTCGTTTCGTTATGATCTTAGTGCTCCTCTTGCCTAGATATTGCCTTTCTCCTGCTACCGGTCCCGTCTTATTTCTCAGCTTCCTTGGGGGTACCTTACTCTTTGCATTTGGTTCGTGCCATTTGCAGGACCAAACTGTTCTTTCACTCTCCAGTTTTGTAGGTTCTTTCCCCTTCTTTCACACTTAAGGTTATGCTTTACATTTCTAGCTTATGTACGTGTCTCCATTCAAATCTGAAGATTGAATGACTTCTTCAGTTAGCCCGTAACAAGTCTGTTACTTATTTTGTATTTTCAGCAAATATTAAAGGGAATTTTATTTAAAAGACTAGGCTCAAAAACCCAAAGAAACCTACAGTACTCTCAGCATCCTGCCCAAGCCTCTGAAGAATTCAGCTGTTTGACCGCAGACGCATCCTGTGGCCAGATTCTGATCAGCAGTAGCACTGAGCCCCACACAACCCCCCAGGGTCCATCCACGCTGTGTTATTAACTGCAGAGGGTCATTCCCACCCTAGATACCCCATCTCATGTGGGCTTTTAGGCACAGGTATTTTGTCCCTGCACAAGCATGCCTTTAGGGTAAATATCTGTTAGAAAAGGGCCAAGTTAAGGAGGAGAGAGGAGACGGCACCTGTGGGGCAGAGGCTAGGTGTGGGAAAGCTGGCAGGAGGGGGGCAAGTGGAGGGGCGCGGGGTGGTCCAGCGCTTACCTGGTCGGCAGCTTCACTCGCAGGTACCTGTCGATGGCGATGGCCAGGAGGGAGAGGATGGAGGCGTTGGTGAAAACCACCATCACGCAGCACATGAACAGGCAGGTGTAGAAGTGGGCGCTGATGCCCAGACTCACCACGATGGCCAGGGGTATGACGAGGATCCCCACCGCGATATCAGCCAGCGCCAGGGAAACGATGAAGTACAGAGTCGTGTTCTGAAACGCCGAGTTCAGCTTCACCACCCAGATGACCAGGATGTTACCCAAAGTGGAAAACAAAGCAACCAGGCACTCGGTACCGATGTAAATCCCATCCAGGCTGCTCAGCGCCAGGCTGTCGTTCAGCATGGTGAGCTGCTGGAGATGTTCCCACCCTGGCTGGTGCGGCAGAAAGGAGCATGGGCATCGATGACCTCAGGTGGGATTCATCCTCGGTGCCTGGTGCTCAGTTGTTCCAGTGACTCTCCAGTGTACAAACCTCTTACGGTATTTCACATCCTCAGCACTTGGGCAGTAAATCAGCTGTTGCCTTTCCGGGGAGCTGCAAATACCCTAGCATCCAGGAACCATTCCTTGTGCTGGGCACATCTCCTGAAGCTCACAGCATCCCTTCAGCAACCTGGTATCAATAAAATACTCTGGAAATCTGTTTTGAAGGGAAAAAAATGGAAAAAGCTTCCACAAGCCTGCTTACCAGCAACCTAGAAACAAATAATGCAACTGCTTCCTCTTCCAAGCCCCAGTTTTAGAAGTGGGAGAACTGTAAGAGTTGACTGCAACGCTGCCACTTATCACTCTAGATAATCGCTCTGCAGTCACTATAGGAAATGAAGCAGTTCAGGGGATGCTAGAAGGGTGTCTTGTTAAATTTCAATATTTGATTTAATTTGAGGTGTACCAGTTCAGTTAAGGCCTTGAGATGGCCAAAAAATGCTCTTTACTTGGACCTTTCTCAGTCTGACAAGAACACTATCGTAATCCAGGTGACGTTTTCAGCGAGAGCCCTCATTCCTACTGGAAATCAGTCTGACCACCAACCAAGTCATGCCCAGAGAGTGGCATACTTTCCTACGCTTGCTTTGTAGAAGGCAGAGAGCGAGGCACGGTGTGGGAAGTGATGAGAGATGGGGGAGAGGGTGTGAAGGCTGGGAGCTGCTGGCTGCAGGTGAGCTCGGAGTACGTGGTGCCTGCTCCTCCGTGTGGGTCTGCAGTGCCGGAGCTGCTCCCGTTTCAGAGGAAGCTGAGCAGGGATGCAAATGTCAGCCTGTCTCTCCGAGGATAACCCAGCTCCTGGACAAATAGCAATGCACACTCTCCAGGAATGAGCAAGGAGCAAGAGAAAACTAGGTGGATGGTGCCACATGAATATAACAAAGCCTTAATTGGTCATTGGCAATATTTGGTTTCCTGAACACTGACTCCTGCATCCCTTCCACCCAACTTTGTGGCAAAACTGAGGATGGAGAAGTGAAATCAGCCCTGGGAGGAGACAGAGCCAGAAATAAATGCGGCTTCTTTATTCTCTGCTATCCAAAGTGTTGGACAAATTCCTCTTTCTTGAAATCGACGTAAGTGATTCTTGATGGTGAGCTGTCTGTCGGCAGTCCCAGGCTGCAGCTGCCCTCGGCTGTGCTGGTTTTCTAATCAAACCTGACCCAGGTTATCTGTGGGTGTGGGAGCTAAATCCCGGGAGAGGCATGTACAGGGTCCCAGCGGGGATGTACACCAGGCTTTGGGAAGCTGAAGGAGTTCCTTCTCTGGGCACTACCTGGTCAGGAGCGGGCAGCTGGCACTCTGCAGCTCTGGGCAGCCGTGGACGGTGTCGGTGTCCTGGCTGCTGGCCGTGCTTGGGCAAGAGCGCTGCCCACTTCCTGCGCTCGCTGCGCATCTCCTGTCCCGACCTCAGCTGCCAGCTTCCTTTTTCTGCCATCTCCTCCTGCAGCTGCAGACAGATGCCTCTCGTAGAGACAGCTACTGCAAAGCTGAGTTGCGGGGGCTTTAACAGGGCCCCCCCCCACTCCTCTGCTGCCCTGTGCCTGCTGGAACCACAGCTCCCCAGAACAAGAACTGGGTGCTGCATGGGACCTCAGGGAGCACCTTGTGTACCTGAGCCAAAAGAAAACATTTCTCCCTCCATCTGCCTTTTGCTCACCCAAAATCCAGCCCGGTCTCTTCACGTTTGCCCTCTCCACCCCTTCTTCTGTGGCAAGGGAATGGACTAGATCCCTCACGGTCCCTCGTCCCTGTTTTCTCTGATGCTGCAGCCACACTGCGGGTCATACAGCCTGAGCAGGCTTTAGAGGCGCTCAGAGATGGAGCAGTGTAGCTGCAGCGATGTATAGCTGTGCATTGGCTAATTCACCCTGTGCAGAGCACCCTGCTGGGGGGGAGATCATGCCTCTGGGACTAAAATAGACTCACAGAGTGACCACATCCAGCAGGTAGCTCCTGTGGTTTGCTCATAGTGTGATGCTGCTGCTATGTAACGTTGACTCTTCTACAAAAGCACGCTTCAATGTATTGAAATGATTCTAATGAGAAACCCCAAGGAGACAGAAAGAAAGATGTTTGGGGGTTTGTTATAGAAGATCTGCTAAATGGACCTTCATGGACAATTTGCTCTGTTCGACTTTATAGAGTGAGCTGTGTGTGCAATCAGGAAGCGTGCAGGATTATGAATGAGGGGCTGAACTTAAGGCAGATCAGGGAGGAGCTTCTGACCTGGCTGTTGGAGGAGAAAAAAAAAAAAAAAGAAAGAGCTCAGTGCAGCATTTCTTAATTTTGGATGTAAACGGCCTCAGATGTCCACAATGTCAGCAGGCAGCCTGGGTGTGCTCTATATCGTGATGGAGTCTGGTGTTGGGATATCTGCAGTGGTGGGCAATGCCTTGGTGATCTGGGCAGTGAAGCTGAACCCGGCTCTTCAGAAGAACACCTTCTTTTACATCGTTTCCCTGGCACTCACTGACATTGCCGTGGGGATCCTCGTCACGCCGCTGGCTGTCCTGGTGAGCCTGGGAGTCGTCATCCATTTCTACTCCTGCCTGTTCGTGTGCTGCCTGATGATGATCTTCTCTCACGCCTCGATCCTGTCTCTCCTGGCCATCGCAGTCGACAGGTACCTGCGAGTGAAGCTGCCGACCAGGTGAGGCTGGGTGAAGGTCCCTTCTCATCATCTCTTCCCCGTTTCTCCTCTCTGTTATATTTTCTGTCTCCCTTATTTGCAGCATCACCAGGCTCCCTGGGCATCGCTGGTTCTCTGAGAGGCAGAGGTTCCCAAAGTGTGGGCAAGGGAGCACCAGCAGCCTGGGCGCTCCTGGAAATTCAGCAATGCCTGGAAATCCTGAGCTACAGGGTCAGGGAAGGGTGGCTCCTAAATGTGGATGTTTGAAGGCTGGGTAAGGGGGTGGTCTTTGGTTTCTCCCAGGGGAAAACCGCACTACTGATGCGAGTCAAAATGAACCCGTATTTCTGAGGAAAGGGTTTGACTCTGAGTCTGTGGGTTCCCATTTAAAAGGGATCAGTGGCTTTTTGGAGGTTCCTCTGTAGTTTCAAAATACAGTTTAAATATCAGAAGTTGCTAAGGACCAACTGCACAGAACTCTGAATTGGGCAAACCAGAAATGAGAGCTTAAAAGCCCACGTTCCTGAATATTGTAGCTCTTTTTTCTGAAGAATCGCATCTAACATGGCTAGTGCTTCCTGTCCACCAGGTACAGGGCAGCCGTCACGAAGAAAAGGATTTGTGTGATTCTGGGGCTCTGCTGGCTCGTGTCTGTGCTGGTGGGGCTGGTTCCTATGCTGGGGTGGAACCAGTACACGGGCAGCTCCAGCTACATCGAGTGTCGCTACTTGGCTGTGATGAGGATGGACTACGTGGTGTACTTCAGCTTCTTCACCTGGATCCTTCTTCCCTTGCTCATCATGTGTGCCCTCTACGCTGAGATTTTCTACGTCATGTGGATAAAACTCAGCCCAAGCTCAGCAAGTCCCCCAGGAGAAGGAGGAACCGTTTGTGGGAAGGAATACAAAATGGCCAAATACCTGGCCCTCATCCTCCTCTTGTTCGCAGTGTCTTGGCTGCCCCTGGGCATCCTGAACTGCATCTCGTACTTCTGCCCCTCCTGCACCATCCCCGAGCCCCTGATGTACCTGGGCATCCTGCTGTCCCACGCCAACTCCGCCATGAACCCCGTCGTCTATGCCTTCAAAATACAGAAGTTCAAAGAAACGTACGCTTTCATTCTGAGGACTTACATCCTGCTCCAGAAGCCCGAGTCGGTTATCTCCAGGGCAGAGCCCACAGCGGAGCAGCCGGGAGCCAGCACCAGCTGAGCTGTGCCTGGTGCTCAGTTTGTCTGGGCTGGGTACATTGAAAACAGCAAACGAGCAACAGAATGGGGTGCAAATGGCACAGACACCCAGACACACTGCTCAGATCATGCATTCTGGAGCAACTGTTGTGTGTATGTCTCTCTGTCCAGCTCATGAAGCTCTGGGCAGTGCAACACCAGTCCCAGGTTCCCAGCTAACTCCCGAAACAAACTCCTTTGCATTTCCGAGGCAGAAGGGGTGAGATGTTTGGAACAGAGGCGGCAGCAGTTCCCTGGGGGTCTGGGACCCAGTTGGTGCCCTGACAAGATGCGAGCTCTTCCTCGCCTTCCCGGGGTGCCCATTGCCCACCGCTGACCCTCTCTCTTGGGCTATCCCGAGTATTTCTCTGCAGCAGCTCAGACCATGCAACGCTGCGCGGGGCTCGATGTGCAGCCCACCAGCGCGGTGGGCTCCAGCAGGTTGACAGGAGAGCTGACGTTAGCCTTTGGCACTAGTTTTGCCCCAGCTAACGGCTCTTCCTTTAAGAGTATTTGCTTTGTCTTTTCAGCTCTATTTAAGGAAACCCTTTCTCAAGTTGGTGGAGCTACAAAGAAATGCTCTGGCGTGTTGCCAGAGAACAACTGTCTCTATAAACGCCGAGGTACTATAGGACGGGACGAGAAGGCGGATGCTGGCTGCCAGCTCGCTGGTTGCATAGAGAGCAGCACAGCGAAATGCAGGCAGGGGGACCCCGGCCAGGGGGGTGCTCCGAGGGCAGCTGCTGGCAGGAGGGTGCTTCACGGTCAGAAAATGCTCTGACCCGGCTCAGTGGGGCAGCAGCACCCGCTTGCAGAAAGGTGCTTTGGAACAGAAGGAAACGGAAGGAAAATGAACAGCCTTTGTGGATGGGTTTGTTTGCACCAGCCCATAAAGTTTAAGAGCATTAGATCTTCCCATAGCAGGTGCTCCCCCCTGGGGACAGTGTCTAAAAGATGCCCATGATGCTGCTGGTCCTACCAGGGCACAGGCGCTTG